AAATATATATAAAGATGATAAACCAGTATGTTCATTATAATTTTATTAAAATGTAAGATCTAATTGCTTTTGATATTGCAATGTATTTCATCTATTACTTTAAAGATACTTTATTTATTTGTGTGAAAAATAAAATTGAAAAATATTGAAATACATTGTAAATTTTTATATGATGAATCGATTTCCTTAACTCTTATTCTTTTAATCACTGACTTATAAAGAAAAATTGGAACCATTAAATTATCGAGATGAAACAGAAATGATTAATTTATTAATTTAATAAAAGTAGTAATATCAGAGATGATATATCAGACTTAAAACTTGGTTTAAATAAATGAAAAGTGTAAATCGCTAATATAGACTATGATTTTATTTTAATATAAAAAAACAACATGATGCCTTCTTGTGGATAAGGAAATTATATGTAAATCTATCGATAATGTCTATTAATCGCGTAAACATTAAAACAATTTAATTTATTAAATAAAATATTTAAATTGTATCAATTAAAATACTAATTTATTTATATATTTTGCGACACATTCTGGAAAGGAATTTGATTGATGATTTACTGTTGCGCAAGTGTGCGTTGGTCTGTACGTTCTTGTTGAACTTCATAGGCCTGTTTTTTTTAATAACTGAACTTGTTGCATGATTTATCTTTTCTTTTTTTTTCTCCAACGTGGAGAGAAAAGGAAGAAACATGAAGCATACAAGAACTTTAGCTAAAAAGAACAGACCTCTTGCACCGTTTATCTTTCTTCTTTTTCTCTTCACGTTCGAAAGAAAAGGAAGAAAGATGAACGGTGCAAGAAGTTCAGATGAAAATTGTGACACAAGCAATGACCAATCGCACCTCGTTTGGCCTCGTTCCGTGCGCATCAGCAGTCGATCGGTAAACAGTCGCAAACAGTCAGTGCAATGTACGTTCGCGTGATTTGATGTATTTGACAAGTTTCGAAGCACAGACTTTGGGAGCATTTTAGCTGTATGCGGAACGTTGATCGTGATCGAGATATCCTTTCCTCTAGGGGATAGTATCCTTTTTTTTTTTAAATTCTTCCACCATGGACACGGACAGGCCTCAACACGAGGAATGGAAAAAACGGGTATGTACGCTACAGGCTGTGTCACTTATTAGACGGAAATAATTGAGGAAGCCTTACGAGTATTTTACAATGCTGTTTGCATTCTTGAATATCTGGACAAATAAAATAAATCCGCATTTCATTTTTCTACGCAGTAAATGAAACAGAATATATCTCGATGTGTTGATGTTTCAGCATTTAATTTACATGCTTAATAATTTTTGCTATGAGTCAGCCTAGCAGAAACCTTTCTCTTGTGAATTTTATTTAAAATATATAATAATAGATACACATTCATATGAAATTTACAAAAATGTTTGTATTTAAAACATAAATATATATTCAGACGTTGAAAAGAGAAAAAATGTAAAATGCAACGTGATTTAATGTATCTAATGATACTATATTATTGTCAAATTACTGAATCTTAATCCAATATATTTAGGCTTTTGTGGGACCACTGCCAGATAGTTTCTTGAGAATAGAAGAGCGTAATGCACAGTTGCAGCAGGAGGCAGCAGATCAGCAAGCTGCTCTAGCTCTGCATCAGCAGATGCGGAATATGTCAGTGGCTCATGATCCACGAATTGGTAGACTTAGCATAACAATTTCTCAGGTAATTCTCAGATATTCTTGTATGATTGACATTTCCAGTATTGTTATAAATTGAACCAACGACTTAACAATTTGTATCATCTTGCGCTATAAGAAACCACTTTTTCCAGGCCAAATTAGTGAAAAATTATGGAATGACAAGGATGGATCCTTACGCGAGGATACGAGTGGGACACTCGGTTTTTGAGACACATACAGACTCAAATGGTGGAAAAAATCCACATTGGAACAAAGTAATCCACTGGTGAGAAAGTATATTTTGTTTATACACGTATGTAAATATATGTTATAACATTGATTTTATTACAGTAATCTTCCACCTGGAGTTACCCAGATATATATAGAAATCTATGATGAATGTTCTTTTGTGATGGATGAATTGATTGCATGGGGTCATATAGAGATTCCACCACAGGTCATTCAGAAGGGAGAAACACACGAAGATTGGTATATGCTCAGTGGCAAGCAGGGAGATAATCAGGAAGGCATGATCAATTTAGTTTTCAGTTACACGGTAAATATAATAATTATACTATATATTTGTCATTTATCACTAAGTTATACAGTATTTATAATATCAAGCAAACGAAGTAAACAGAGTCACTAAAATTCAAAAGCAATAACTTTTGTGCATAACTTTTAATATTATTTTCCAGTTCTCTCTCTTTACCCTAGTGAAAATTTTTATATGAATTGAAACATTATTCAGAAATACTCAGAAATATTTGAAAAGATTTACATCTTCTCTCAGAATTTTTCATACATGTAAATTCTGAAATATTCTGAAATTTCTCATTAATTAAAAAAAAAAATAATAATTAAATATAATAATTAAAAAAAAATATTTTTAAATTTTATAATATTTCATCAGAAATTATACTTA